TCTCACCTCCAAGGCAGTGCACCTGGCCTCTGGCTGAGCAGCACTCTCACAGGGAACGAGAGCTCCTGGACTGCGAGAGCCCTCAACTGCAAGAGGGATATCTGACTGCCAGCTCAGGTCCGATCCCTGAGGGACCAATCATTTAGGGGATCAGGCCTAAGCCAGCAGGCGGACATGCCCAGAAATCCAGGACTGCGAGAGGGTGCAGGCTGGGCTGAGGGTTCCCCCCTTGTCCTCCCTTCCAGGCCCCTCCCTCCCCACCCAGTGCACAAATCTTGCACACCAGGCCTCTAATACACACACACACACACACACACACACACACACACACACACAGTAGGTCCTCAGGTTACATCGGAGATCCGTTCCTACAGTGCGACATAACACAATTTTCACCATAAGTCAGAACCCACCTACATAAGCACCTACATCACTCACATGGAGCACATACACAGCAGTAATGAAGTGAAACAGTAAAAAAAAATTTTAAAGAAAGATAACAATATATATATTAAGTTTAATAATTTTTGATGGAGTCTTTAGGGTTTTCTATGTACAGTATCATGTTATCTGCCAATAATGAGAGTGTTATGTCTTCTTGTCTAATTGCTATGGCTAACATTTCCAGTACTATGTCAAACAGGAGTGGTGAAAGTGGGCATCCCTGTCTTGTTCCTATTCTTAGATAAAATAGTTTTAGTTTTTGTCCATTGAGTATCCAGAGACAGAGAAGCATCAATCAGACTGTCAAACCTCAGAGGAAAGGTAGGGGTGGGTGGGGTAAGGAGGAGACATCAACCAAAGGACTTGTATGCATGCATATATGCCTAACCAATGGACACAGACACCAGAGGGGCTAGGGGATAAGTGGGGGGGAAGGGGCGCAAAGGAGGAATAAGGACACATATATAATACATTAATCAATAAAAAAAGGGGGGGGGGGGGGAATGGGGCCAAGATCAGATCTTGATAAATTTATGGAACACAGATAGCAAGTGTGATTACATTGATAAATACATCATAGAAGACCCAAATTAAATAATGAGAAAGTTGCACTAAGAGTATGTACCAGTTTTACTAGCAAAGACTAGGAGATTCTCTAAGCTATGAACAGAGAACAGCAATGAAAAATGGGGCAATAAGTTAATCAAAAGAAGGTTTAAGGAACACTTAGGCCATTTGGTCCCTCCCACATTTTCTATAAACATACTAAGACACTGCAAAGAACATAATTTACACCCTCAGATAAAGCCAGACAATTATTCTTAAAAAATGAATTAAAGTTAAAAGTATAAATAGGAGGGGATACTAACTTCCTCATCTTACATAATGAAAGAAATACGATCTGATGGTAATGAAATCAAAATTAGAGAATATATTAATGTTATGTAAATAACCTGAGCAGAACTAAAAATAATACTACAACTAACAAAACTAGAGAGAAGAATAAAAGAAATGGGAGATAGCATAAATAAAGCAAATTCCGCCGAAGCCGGTTTGGCTCAGTGGTAGAACGTCGGACTGCGGACTGAAGGGTCCTGGGTTCGATTCCGGTCAAGGGCATGTACACTGGTTGCGGGCACATCCCCAGTAGGGGGTGTGCAGGAGGCAGCTGGTCGATGTTGCTCTCTCATCGACGTTTCTAGCTCTCTCTCTCCCTTCCTCTCTGTAAAAAATCAATAAAATATTTTTTTTTTAAAAAAAGCAAATTCCTCACAATGGAAAAACTATATACATAATTTAGCAATACAATTCAAATGTACAGGAAAAGAAATGTACAATGGGTAATAGAAAAACTAAAAACAGAAAGATGAAATGTTCTCTCCTTTCAAGAATGAGACTATAGGAAGGAAAGACAACTGTGAAAAAGAAATATTTTTATATTAAAACTAGAGGCCCAAAGCACGAAATTTGTACAAAGGGGCTCGGCCCTCACAGCCCAGGCTTTGTCTGGAAGGTTATCTAGCTATTGGGCCTAATTAGCCTATTACACTTTTATTATTATAGATTATATGAAAATATTATTTTCAAAATAAATTGACCCAGAAAGTTAGTCTGAGAGACATAAAATCTGACTACTTTGTCTGGAATCTTTCAACTTTTACCAAAAAAAAAAAAAAAAAAAAATACACACACATACACACACACACACACACACACAATTCTTTAGGTCTTGAAGAAAAATTATCTGAGTACACAAATAAGGAAAAAGGAAATAAGGAAAATTTCATCTTTTGGCATTCTGATAAAAGATGAGTCAGAAACAAGGGGCTATAATTCCCTAATCCTTTAGGCTGAAGAATGGCAATTGGGAATAGTGTTTTCAATCTCAAATTCCTATTCTGGAAGTTGTTAATCGGCTTGAATGGTGGATGGCTTAATTATATAAGGACCATATTAATGTCTCAGAGGAGGGAGAGTGATCTGATAGGTTTTAATTTGAAACACTCTTCATAAAATTAAAAATGAATGCCAAACTGACTATAACCTGTGCCTCTATGGAGAAGTTAAAGGCCAATATAGCTATAACAATACAGTATAATCAACTGGGCTTTGAGGCCAAATTGATCCAGTACTAGCCAATAATCATGAAGGTTAGTCACTGGACAGTCAAAAGGAAGTATTCTCCATTTCTGTTTCAACTAATAGGTATTTCAATAGATTATTTTTAGGCAATTCGAAAAACTGCTTATAGCTATGAAAACATTTTCAGACTATTCATACCCCTTTGGAATTACACTGTAGAACTAAAAATCCTGGGATCCGAATGTATCTAGGTGTAACATTAATCTTAAATAGAACAGTACAGTTTGGGAAATTTTGGATCCATTTTGTTCTGTTATAGAGTTTTACTTGTAATATAGCACTTTTTAAAAAGGAAATAGAACAGATTGTTAAGTTCAAATCTACATAAAGTTAAAAGTTAACCAAGCTAATAGCTCTTTTCATGGTATACAAAAGTACAATAACTAGAGGAACAGCAAAATCAAACATGAAAATATCTATCTTTGGGGGGAAAAGTTCTACCTGCTAATTGATCCTTCCATGGCTTTCTAGGCCACTACTGAGAGGTGTGTTTGCCTTAGCTGTTGAATCCACAGTGCTGAACAAGAAAATAATAATGCAACCCATATAATGTCATTTTAAATTTCTGGTAACCAAATTTTAAAAAGCAAAAAGAGATAAAATTGAGTTTAATAATATATTTTAATTCACTATATCCAAAATATGACCATTTGTAGTCAATATTTTAAAAGACTATTGAGATATTTTAAATTGTTTCCGTTTTTGAAAATTGGTATGTATTTTACAACTACAGTACATCTCAATTCAAACAAGCTACATTTTAAGTGCTCAATATCCCCAAATGGCTATTAGCTGAGACATTTATTTGAAAAGTTTTCCTATCAGCTGACAGGCATAACTTAATGGAAGCAAAGGACTCTGAGTTCCCAAGTCAACTGAAGTTTCCTAATATCATACAGGATCCAGCAGGAGTCTTCTTTGTTGTAGTGTAAGAAGCCTTGACCTCTATTGTAAGAGCCAACTGGATTGGCAGAATGAATGCATGTGTTGCCTTCACTCCTTACTGAAGCGCTACTACAAAGACAATGAAAGGACAGGGAAGCACATATATCTGTAAGAACAAAGAGCATAAAATGGACAAGAGCCCCACTTTGTTCCCAGAACTTTAAGAACCAGGCTTATATGCCTCCCCGACCTTCTTCCCTCTCTCTTTCTGATCAGGAAATTGGTGAAAACTTCTCGGGGGTAGTGAAATTTACCAAAACCAGGAATCTATACTCACATACTATGAGTTTTCAGTCAGCTTTTGAAGTGCCTTCCATTCCTAAGCACTTACTGAGCCTACTCTGTGCCAGGCACTGAGGATACAGCAGTGAACAAAACAAAATCCCTCTCTCAAGGAGCTTACATTCTAATTTTTTTAAAAAATACAATAAACAAACAATACAGAACAGAAATAGAAATAAATCAGGTTAGGAGGATAGTGTAATGGGAAGGGGAAAGAGGAATGCTGATTTAATTATGAAGGTCAATGATAGTGTCTCTGATGGGGACAGATTTGAGCAGAGGCCAGAATGGAGGGAGGGAACCACACAGCTACCTGGGCAGAGGGTATTCCAAGCACAGAGAAGTCTAAAACCCTATAAATGGTGAGTATATTTGGCCTACTGGAGGAAAACAAAGAAGCCAGTTCAGCTGGAGCAAAATGAATGGCAATGTGACTGCGGAGGGTGGAGTAAATAACAGTAACAGAGAGGTTGAACTGAGCCAGAGCATAAAGGCCTTGAAGACTCTAGTTAAGGACTGATTTTTTATTTTAGGTGAATTGGCAAGCTATGAGAAGAAGAGTGACGTTATCTGACTTCGTTTTAAAAGAATCACTTTGCCTGCTGAGTAAAGAAATGACTGTACGACAGTGTGGGTGGAAGCAAAGATATCAGATAAAAAACTATACTAGTCCAAGAGAAAGGTACCTTGACAAAGGGAAGAAATGAGAAGAGATGAGATTTGAGATATGCTTTTGTTTTAATAATTGCAAAATTATTTTTTAAATAGCAAAAACAATAAAGTTATAAAAAGGGCACCCATATATTCTTTACCAACACCTTTTTATCTATGCACACCTATTTATATACATTTCTTTCTGAACCATTGAGGGTAACTTACATATATCATGGCCCTTTCCCCTAAAGACTTTAGTATTTCCTAAAAATGGGATACTCCCTAACATAATCACAGTATAGTTACCAACTTCAGTACATTTAACATGATATAATACTTTTATCTAATCTCCTGTTTGTACTCCAATTTTGTCAGTTGGCCCAATAATGTCCTAGCATTTTATACCTTCCAGTTCTGGATTCAGTTTAGGGTTTTATATTACATTTAGCTGGCAACCACTTTAGGTCCCTTTGGAACATCCATTGTCATAAATGTTTCCAGAGCATTTATGACAATGACATTTTTTAAAAATCAAGTCCTCTCCTCCTATTTTAAATATGTTCCTCATTTCACATTTAAAGATGTGCCTCATTTCACATTTCTTCATGATTAGATTCAGATTATGCATTCTCAGCGATGCACAGGGGATGTTGTGATCTTCTCAAAGCATCACACATCTGGAGTCACAGAATGTCCATCTGTCCCTCCCTGGTGCTGTTAATTTTGATCAGCTGGTCAAGATATTGTCTGTACTATTAATGTTCCTTTTTTCCCCTTGACACTCAATCTCTAAGGAACACTTTTAAGACCACATATTCTACTTCTGATCAAAATTACCTCATATATTTAGAATTTATTGATGATTCTTGTTGACCCAATCTTAACTACTATTGGTAAAGGACTTTCCAATGCGAGCATTCTTCCACATTTATCAGCTGGCCTCTGCATTCTACCAAAAGAGCCTATCCTCCTCACCCATTTACCTATGTGTCTTTCTTCTTTTTTCTTTTTTTTTTTTCATAGAAATGTAGGTTTATTTAGATAGAGACATGCTGAATACAAAGAGCTGAAATTAATGAGTAATTGTTAACATAAAATGATAGAACATTTTAATAAAAATTAATATTATTTCTTGAACATTAACTTACCAGACACTGCATAACTGCACAAAGTAATAAGCGTTGTGCAAATAAACCTTTTTTTCTTGTTCTCCAAAAGCGAAATATTTCTTGTTTCGCACACCAAACAAGTCTGTCCAAGACTAATGACTTGGCAATCAGCTGCTAAAATATTTGCTGCTAGTATTAGTGGAGAGAAATGGTGTGCCTGTGCATAAGGTGGGTAAGGGAAATGCAACGATTACAGTTATCAGTCATTAGCAAACATGGTTCGTTATTAATGTGTAACAGGATATTGTAAAAAATTAAGTTATAAAATTTTTATTAAAACGTTTCTTACATATTGGCTGGGCCTTAAAATATTTGTGGGCTGTGAGTTTGACATGCTTGTTTTAAGCCACTACATCTTGGGGTAATTTTTATGCAGCTGATGTGATCTGGGCCACACCTTTTTTTTTTTTTTTTTTAATAAATCTTTATTGTTCAGATTATTACAAATGTGATCCTCTTCCCCCCCTCAATTGCTCCCCTTCACCAGGTTCCCACCCCACCCTCTGTCCTTTCCCCATCCCCCATTGTCCTCATCCATAGGTGCACAGTTTTTGTTCAGTCTCTTCCCGCACCCCCACTCCCCTTTTCCCTGAGAATCGTCAGTCCACTCCCCTTCCATACCTCTGATTCTATTATATTCACCAGTTAATATTGTTCATCAGATTTTTAAATTCCCTTGGTTTTTAGATTCACTTGTTGATAGCTATGTATTTGTTGATCATAATTTTTATCTTTATCTTCTTCCTCTTCCTAAATAACCTCCTTCAGCAATTCATATAATTCTGGTTTGGTGGTGATGAACTCTTTTAGCTTTTTTTTTATTTATGAAGCTCTTTATCTGTCCTTTGATTCTAAGTGATAGCTTTGCTGGGTAGATTATTTTTGGCTGTAGGTTCTTGTTATTCATCACCTTGAATATTTCTTGCCATTCCCGTCTGGCCTGCATGGTTTCTGTTGAGAAATTCTGTTCTGCAATCTTATGGGTGCTCCTTTATAGGTCACTACCTGCTTTTCTCTTGCTGCTTTTAATATTCTCTTTGTCTTTTGCTCTTGGAATTTTAATTATGATATGTCTTGGTGTGGTCCTCCTTGGATTCCTTTTGTTTGGGGTTCTGCGGGCTTCCTGGACTTATAAGTCTATTTCTTTCCCCAGGTGGGGGAAGTTTTCTGTCACTATTTCTTCTAGTACTCTTTCGGTATCTTGCTCTCTCTCTTCTGGAATCCCCATAATTCTGATGTTGGTTCGCTTGAAATTGTCCCAGAGGTTTCTTACACTATCTTCAACTTTCTGGATTCTTTTATCTTCTCCCTTCTGCAGAGGAGTGTCCTCTGGCTCTTTGTGTTCTAAATCTTTGTCTTGATTCTTGCGATCTTCCAGTCTGTTTTTAGGACTTTGTATAATATTTTTTATTTCAGACAATGTTTTCTTCATTTCTAGTTGCTCCCTTTTCATATCCTCATAGGTCTCATTTATTTTATCGGCCTTTTTTAGGATATTGTTGAATAACCTTATAACTGTAGTTTTGAACTCAATGTCCAATCTTTTCTTTTCCTCCATCTCCTTCCTTTGTGTCCTTCTTCTTGTCTGCATTTTAGTTGTTTCCCTGATTTGATGGAATAGCTTTGTATGCTAGGTGTTCTGGTAGAGCCCAGTAGCACAGCCTTCCCAGTTACCTGCAATGGACAGTCTTGGTGTAGCCCTTTGTGGGCTGTGTGTGCAGTCTTGTTGTTAAGCCTTGCTTATTGTTGGTATCACTGGGAAGCGTTGATCTCCAAGCCAATTGGCTGTGAGGATCAGAAAAGTCTCAGCTAGGAGCGTTTCCGTATTCTGCTTGAATAGGGCGGGGTCTCGGGGTGGCGCAGACAATCTTTGGTTCCCTGTCAGTCTCACCTTAGAAAAGTCCTGTTCGTGGAGAGTTTTGGAAGATTGGTTGCAGGCGCGTGTACGCACCTCTTTGGTAAAGGCGCAGACAAGCTTTGGATTCCTGCAACTCCCTCCTTAGAGAAAGCCAGCCTCTGGGAGAGCTTCTGTGCTCAGTCACAGGTAGGGCGGAGTCTCGGGTTGGTGCAGACAAACTTTGTTTTCCCTTCGGCTCCTCCCCAAGTCCCGCAGTAATGGCCTCTGGCTTCACACACCTCCAAGAGATCTCTGCCCACTGCCTGACAGTCTGGCCTCTCCCTGTCTGGGGCCGTTTATCAGAGCAATAGGGTGATTCTGTTTTCCTCTCGGACAAGAAAGCCAGCCACGTTAGCTGTTCGCCCTCTCCGCGCCAGGAGTAAGCCAGTAGCGAACTCAGCCCGGCCCGCCCTCTCTGCGTGCAGGGAGTAAGCCAGCAGCAATCTCGGTCTGGCCCTTCCTCTCCGCTCCAGGATTAAGCCAGCGCCTTTTCGCGCACACAGTTCTCCTTACCTTCACAGTTCCTGAGGTTCAGCGTGCCTTCTCTCTCCTTCCCAGATGGCAGAGCCTCCTCTCAGCCAGCCGTCTGGCGCTTCAGGGCAATGCCTCCCCTGTTTTTCAGTTCTAAATTCAAATTTCTTGTGGTAGGCTGCATTCGGGTGTCTACCGTATGCAGCCATCTTGGTTTCCCCTACCTATGTGTCTTTCTATTATCAGTATGAATTAATGAATTCTTATTTTTCCCCCCCAATGATTTACAATTATTACTATACATAACTATTTTGGTGCTCAAATTGTCTCAGAGTTGGTAAGTGGCTCCTTTGTCCTTGTGACATGTACCCATCATTTTTTTCAGCACTTCCATACAACTTGGCATAACAAGCTGTTCCAGAATCACCTACCCTGCCCCAGGCTGGAATCATCCATTTTTCCAGGGTGCTTGGTTCTTTCAGTGGGGAATAGTGTTAGAGATTAAGACCTGGATAGTTGTGCACACTGCCACTGAGATGTCTGTGCTTCTTGGCCCTTTCAGATTCTTATTAAAGAACCAACTAATGTTGCTAAGAGTGAACTGGACTATTAAGAGAAAAAGAAAAATCAAAGATGACTGCAGAGTTTCTGGCCTGTGCTACTAGATGAGTGATATTGGCCTTTACTAAGGCTAACTACTAGACTACTAAAATGAGGAAAAGAAAGTTTACAGGGGAAGATCCAAAGTTCCATTTTGGATGAGCTAATTTTGCATGCTTCTTAGATATATAAGTAGGTATTATATATTGAGCAGAAAACTGGAAGAGTCCAGAATTCAGAGGAGAGGATCAAGATGGTGATATAAATTTAGAAAACATCAGCATATTACTATTTAAACCATGGGACTAAATAAATAAACAGATAAGGATCACCACACATTTGAGGTCTCTCAGGGCCTCTGGGCAGTGTGGGAAGTTAGGGCCAGAGCAGAAAGAGGCATCTCTGGGGCCTGAATGAAAAGGGGCTGGGTCAGAGTGGAAAGGCGGTGCCAAGGAAAGGAAAGCCTGTTCTAACAAGAATCTTCGTGCATCGGGCTTCTAGTATTTCAATAAAGTATATGTATGGTATAAAAATAATAAGCAACCATTACCCATTACATCTACCACCCAACTGAAGAAAAAAAATCTAACATAATTTTTTAAAGAACTCTGTCCACAATCTCATCCCTGTCACCTCTCCCTTCATCCTTTTATAGTTTTCCCACATTCATATATAAGTTCAGTTTACATGTGTTTGAAAATCATATAAAAGAAAACATACTGTATGTACAGTTAGTTTTGTGCTCACCCCCTCGCTCCCTACCCCCCTTTCCCTTCTCTATAAAATCAATGAGTATGTCTTCAGGTGAGGATTTTTTTAAAAATGTAAAAACTCAGTTCTGTTGGTTGAGCATGTCATAAATACATAGAAAATTACCACTAAATTTCTAGCTCATGACATTTTTTTCCATTCTTGATCATATATACATGTCTTCATCTAATTATATCCATGCCCAGCAAAAGAAAATGTTGCCTACACTACAGTGTTTCAAGATGGTTCAGTAAAGAAAACAGATTATATAAGTAATGAAACAATATTTTGGAAGATAAAAAAAAATGTTTGTATTTAAGTATTAGACAAACCTCTAAAGCAGAAAAGACTCTTTTGCTTCTTTAATTAATGTCACTTATAGTCATCTATGTTTTGCCTTGTGATTTATCATCTTAATATGAGAAATACAATGGAATAACTGAAACATTTGCTGATTTAATATAAGAATAGGGATGTATAGGAGTCTTCTGATTACTAAAGAGATAAACAACTATAAACATCTTAGGAAATAAAAACAGCAAATGTAAATACATCAAATTAAGTATTTTTAGGAAAGGAAATAAAACCTTATAAGAGTAAAGTTTGGCCGAAACCGGTTTGGCTCAGTGGAAGTGTCGGTCTGCGGACTGAAAGGTCCCAGGTTTGATTCCGGTCAAGGGCATGTACACTGGTTGTGGGCACATCCCCAGTAGGGGGTGTGCAAGAGGCAGCTGGTCGATGTTTCTCTCTCATCAACGTTTCTAGCTCTCTATCTCTCTCCCTTCCTCTCTGCAAAAAATCAATAAAATATATATATATATTTTAAAAAGAGTAAAGTTTGCTTTAGTAATCATTTTATAAAGATAATACTAAAATATTATATACATATATATTATTTAAAATAATCTAGTTAAACAAATTGGGAGTTGGCTTTTTAAAAAAAATGGTAGTTAAAGATAATTTCATTAGACAAGGACAAATACATATTTGTTTAGTTATATCCAAACATGACTTTTAAGAGTCCATTAACTACCACAGCTGCTATGGTAAATTCATGTATGTGTTACCAGGAACACATAAAGGTATGATATAACTAAGCAATAATTAAAAAATTAAGAAAATACATTAAAGCTTTGTGGGGTTAAATTTCTTCTCTCTTACACCTCTTCACATCCTCTTCCTTCAAGAAGTTTGGAGAAAATCCAAAGAAATGTCTTTGATAAATATTTGTCAAATATAAATGACCACCATACTATTTTGTGATTTTCTCTGTTTAAAATAAGAAAGGGGGAAGAAAGAAAAGACCAAAAAGTATGGGTTTATCAACAGAGGGCTCTCAATTTATAAAAGATCAATTCTGGCTTAGAATACAAATTTCATTAATGAGCACTGAGAACTTTGGTATAATTACAGACAAATGTACTAACAATCTTTAGAAACTCCATGAGAGTAAAATAGTCATCAGTGTATTTAATAATCCTAGATTTAAACAGCTTTTCTAACAAGCTCTCTGGGTAATTACTAAGCTATCTAAGAATCACTATGAACTTTGGACCTTTTCCTTCGCTGACATATGACTTTGTTATTAGCTCAAGTAATAATAATGTATTAAAACACTTGCTTGATATACAGAAACATATCTTTGCATTTAGACTACAATGAACTTTGTTCCTCAGAAATATATTATGAAAAGTCACATAGAAATTTGTAAATTAGCAGCAGGGGGCAACAAATGTGAAATCAGTTGCTGTTTGTCTTGGAGTCTGTGATAAATAAAAGCTATTTCACGTCGGGATGCATATTCTAAAGGAGTATGTCTTGATGCTACAGAAAAATCTGGGGCTGCTGTTATCTCACTGTTTTTCTTATCAACTCTTACATACCTACAGCTGAGGAGAAAAGCATATTAAATTCTCCTTAAGAATTCCTGATCTTTACAAACATGGTTAAGTGAATTGCTGATTTGCTAAGAATTAAGTAACTCTCCTTGATTAGAGGTAAAGTAACACAGAGACCAAATCCATGAACTGTTTAAAAATTCTAAATGAGGGCATTGTGAAAACTAAAGTGAGTTCAATGACAGAAACATCGAGCCACAAAAACTTCTAGTGTGTTTAGTGTGTCATTTAGAGCATATAACTAATTCCAGCTGGTCAAAGAGGAGCACTCATTAAAAAATATTTATTGATTAGTAATTTCACTGTCACTAGAAACTTCTGACTCATTTCAAAACTCTACTTTTTATTCTAAACTAGTGGCCCAAAGCATGAAATTGGGATGGGGGGGTGAGGGGGCGCAGCACATCCCTTAGCCCAGCCTGCACCCTCTCCAATCTGGGACCTCTGGCTCCTAACAGATCACCTGCCTGCCTGTCTGGTTACCCCTAACCACTCTGTCCTCCGGCCTGATCAACCCCAACTGCCCCCACCTTCCGGCCTATCACCCCTAACTGCCGGCTTCTGCTGGACAGATTTCCCCCAACTGCCCTCCGCCGGCCTGCTCGCCTCACCTGTTCCCCCACCCCCACCCCACCGGCCTGCTCGCCTCATCCCCCCCTTCCCCCCCCCCCCCCCCCCGCCAGCCTGCTCGCCCCCACCTGCCCCCCTAATTACCCCTCCTGCTGGTCTGATCACCCCCAACTGCCCTCCCCACTCCCCTGCCATCAGCCTGATCACCCCTAACCACCTCTACCTCAAACCCGCCACCATGGCTCTGTCCAGAAGGACATCTGCAAGATGTCTGGAAGGTCTCCCGGTCTAATTAGCATATTACTCTTTTATTAGTGTAGATAAATCCTTAAAATAGAATTCACGCTCTTTAATGTGGTGGTTACTTAATTTGAAAGCCTATTTTATTTTTTCTCTTAATATTAAATATCAATGTCTCATAACATTTTACTTAGTAACTATATTATTATAATTCTATGTATTTAAAAAATGAACATAAATAAAAAGTAAATGAATGGTCTTTGGAACAATGGTAACTGTTTTCAACTAAGAATTAGTAAGTGGTGGTGGTTACTATATTAATTAGATAATCCCTGTCCCTTGCAAATAACACTCAGCATAAACACACTAACCTAAAATCTTAAATATGATAAAGTTAAATATAAAAAATATATTGGTGCAAATTAGGAATTACATATATAGTGACTATACAATTCTCTTTAAGCAAGACTTCTCAGGGAGCTGGGTGAAAAAGTAAATGAATTAAGGAGAAATTCACAGCATTACACAATATTAAGAACCTGACTAACACTTTATGGTATTGGTTAATCAAGAAAACCTCTTTGGAGTGAGTAGACTCGAGTTATGATTTCAAGGAGAAGGAAATAGTGGGCAGAGAGGAAGAAAACTATTCCCAATATATTAGACCTTACAGCCTCCCTACTGCAGACAATATATCTCTTTTCTTAGCCATAGGCTACCCACTCACAAGTCTTTACAACAGACATGGTGGTGGTAAGGAACAATTTAATACAACAGCCCGCCCCACAGAAAATTTCCACTCAACTTTAAAGGCTTGTCATATCTGTCCCATCAATTGGAGAGAAGAGATGAAAATAGATTCTCAAGAGCAATAGGCCTAATGCACTACCCCTGAGGTAGTAAACCATCCCACTTAGTGTAAATAGTTTTGAAACCGGGTGATATAAGTATAAGATCCATTTCTCATCTGTAAAAGCAAAGGCTAAAGCACATTAACTGCTATGGCTTCAAATCATCAGTAAAGCTAAAATATTAGGAGAGAAAGGTGAAGATCTGTTATCTCTGGCTCTGGACTTTAACCCTGGACAGTGAATTGAAAACATGCCAAGTGCAGTTTCTAATTTTGATCTGAGCTATTCCCACATTAACCATATTTTCACTACTTATTACTCATTGTATTACCACAAATAAAAGAAAACAGACATGTAGACCATTGCCAAAACACAAACTAGACTTTACAGCTTAAGAGCCAAGGCTGAAATTAAGACAATCCAGAATATGCATACTGGAAAAAGCTCAAAATAGTGAAGATGGAAAATTTCAACAACTGCTCACTATATGTACAACTGCCATTTTTTTCCCTCTCATAACATAACTCAAATACAATGCTTAAAAGTACTAGCAGTTTAACTATTTTTTGTTGTTTTGGACTTCACATATTAGTTTATTTTACATTTTTTTTAACTTACTTTGAAAGTTTCCATTACCATTAAAATGGAAATTGTACTTTTATGATTGGTTCATATTCTCATAGTGTCGATACCAGTGAAATAATCCCACTAACAACTATAGATCTGACATATGGGTTTCTTTAGGTCCAGAAAGACAACATCAGAATCACTGCAGTTTGTATCTTGTATATGACTGTTTCACTGAACATATACCAGACTCTGAGGACCCATGCATTTAGTAAAACTGGAATCATTTATTTTACTGGTAAACTCTAGAGCATAGGCTTTCGACAGAAAGAATACAACAGTAAAAAGGACTGGTAAAACCTCTTTTACTAAATTCTGAATCTAAATGTTTTTTTCAGCTGCCAAATCATTCTCTGAAAGGTAGAAAGAAATACCAGCTAAGTGCTATATGTGAAAACATTAC